TAATACTGGCTAGAGCTCTCAGTTTAATCCATGTGCCATTAACTGAGATCAGTCAACAAATGTGGTTTGGTTTTATTTTCTTGGTACTTGATTTCAGTGTCTTACATCTTCCTTACCTTGTAAATGTAGTGACTTGTGCAACAAGCATTTCCTGGTGCTTTAGTACCTGCTGGCACTTGGTTTGCTTTCCTGGGCGTATGCACTCTGCAAACACATTGTTGAGAAGCTAAGCTGGTTTTTCTTGCTCCTGTGTGTGGCATTCTGCAAGCAGTGTGCTTAAGTTAAAGCAGGAGGAGAGATGAGTGTGCCGCTACATTGTCAACATGCTAAGCTTTACATTTGCTAAAGGTTCTTGGTATGATAAGAACCCTTCTATGTCTTTCTGTTATTTTACTAGGCTTAATGTTGGCAGTCATAGAATCATAGAATCATAGAATCTTAGGGGCTGGAAGGGACCTCGAGAGATCATCTAGTCCAACCCCCCTGCCAGAGCAGGGTCACCTAGAGTACATCACACAGGAACTCATCCAGGTGGGTTTTGAATGTCTCCAGTGAGGAAGACTCCACAACCTCCCTGGGCAGTCTGTTCCAGTGCTCTGTCACTCTTACAGTAAAAAATTTTTTTCGGATATTCACCTTGAACCTCCTATGCTCCAATTTACACCCATTACTCCTTGTGCTATCACTGGTCATCACTGAGAAAAGCCTAACTCCATCCCCCTGACACTCACCCCTTACATATTTGTAAACATGGATGAGGTCACCCCTCAGCCTCCTTTTCTCCAAGCTAAAGAGACCCAGCTCCCTCAGCCTTTCCTCATAAGGGAGATATTCCACTCCCTTAATCATCTTTGTAGCTCTGCGCTGGACTCTTTCGAGTAGTTCCCTGTCCTTCTTGAACTGAGGGGCCCTTCCCTTCCATTCTCCAGCATAGGCTTGCATAGAGCTGTGGGCCTTAGAAAATATAGAAGGTAACTGTGGACACAGACCATGTTTTGGTGGCTACCCAGTGATGACATCTTAGTTTTGAATTTTATTTCAAACCTCCATGTGAATGATCTCAGGATACACAGGGCTTGTGTGCTTTAACCAGCGCATACGTGGTGTGTTGACACTGACTGGACACCAGGTGCCTACCAAAGCTGCTCTGTCACTCCCCTCCTCAGCTGGACAGAGGAGAGGAAATATAACAAAAGGCTCCTAGGTAGAATTAAAGACAGATCATCCGTCAGTTACTGTGACAGGCAAAATAGACTCGACTTGGGGAAATTAATTTATTACCAATAAAATCAGGGTAGGATAATGAGAAATAAAAGCTAAATCTTAAACCACTTTCCTTCCACCCCTGCCTTCCTCCTGGGCTCAACTTCAGTCCTCATTTTTTCTGCCTCCTCTCCCTCAGCAGAACAGGGGGACAGGGAATGGGGGTTGTGGTCAGTTTATCACATGTTGTCTCTGCTGCTCCTTCCTCCTTAGGAGGAGAACTCCTCACACTCTTCTCCTGCTCCAGCCTGAGGTCCCTCCCACGGGACACAGTTCTACATGAAATTCAATGAGTTCTTCTCACAGGCTGCAGTTCTTCAGGGACTGCTCCTATGTGGGTCTCTTCCATGAGTTGTAGTCCTCCAGGAACAAACTGCTCCAGTGTGGCTCCCCCACTGAGTCACAAGTCCTGCCAGCAAACCTGCTCCAGGTTGGACTCTGCTCTCCATGGCTCCACACATCCTGCCAGAAGCCTGCTCCAGCATGGGCTTCCCACAGGGTCACAGCCTCCTTCAGGCATGCAGCTGCTTTGGCATAGGGTCCTCCACGGGCTGCAGGGTCACAGCCTGCCTCATCATGGTCTTCACCAGGGGCTGCAGGGGAATCTCTGCTCTGGCAGCTGGAGCACCTCCTCCCCCTCCCTCTTCACTGACTGTGGTGTCTGCAGACATGAAGTCTGCTGCAGTTGTGCTGGTTTTTCCCCCAGTTTTGAAATATGCCATCCCAGAGGCGCTACCAACATTGCTGACCCACCCGCCTTGGCTAGGGGCAGGTCCATCTTGGAGCGGTCTGGCATTGCATCTGTTGGACACAGAGAAGCTTCTAGCTGCTTCTCACAGGAGCCACCCCTGTAGCCCCCCTGCTACTAAAACATTGCCATGCAAACCCAACAGGAAATGTGCCTCTTTTCAATTTGACTGTCAAAGCTGGTTGCATCAGATCCAGATTCAGCAGGCTGTGATACATAGTACCAGCACTTAGTTTGGAGGTGAGAACTCTGGCCTCCTCAAGCATGAATAAGAGGCACCAGTGCCATCAATCCTGCTACTGATGATTTTCAAACTTTGCCCTTGTGCCTCATGCTGCTTTGGTTTCGACAGTGGTTGGCACCTTCTCAAGAGACAATATATCCCGGCTTCTTGTGTGGCAAAAGTCAGAGTCCACTGCATTTGGCTATTGTTGGTAGGAATATCTTTACCAGTATGGAAATACTGTTTGTGCCTGTCCCAGATACACCCCTGCCAGTACAGATGTGGAGTGCAGACCACACTTCTCTCTGCTGGCAAAGTCTTTCCCACCAGCAGCATGTGAATACTCTGTCACTCAAGCAATGTGAGGTGATGCCATGTTTCCCATACCACTGCAGTCTGTGCAGATGGAAATGGTGTCTCTGTTGCTGAGTTACTAAATTGTTCCATGTACTGGTTCTGGCTAAGTAAACATAATGGCTCAGCAGTGGGAGTAATTTCTTGCATCAAGCAATTTGATAATAGAGCCATTGAAGAAAAGAGGATAATTCCTCTTGCTTCCTTTCAGCTCTGTTGCTGTCTCTCGGGGTCAGGGTGCCTCTCCTTCCTGAGGAGATGGGGGAGAGATGAGGGAGAAATCATTTTGGAGTGCAGATGAAGCTGTTGATTTGCTGGGTTCAGGAGGATACGTGCAGCAGTGACAGTACTGGTAACTGCACCTGTGGTCACTACAGATGTAGCTCATGGCAGTGGATTCATTCACTGTACTTCCTGTAGCTCTGAACTAACTTCCCTCACAGAGGTTCATTTTTGGGGTTGCTGTATTTCCAGTTGTCACAAGCAGCTGTGCTAGCAGTTAGGGGAAAAAAACAAAAAGGCATGTTTTTCCCTTCACATTATTATTCAGTTCTAATTTTATGAGAGCTGTCACGTGCTAACAACTCTGTTATATCTAACATATCCTCCCACAACAATAGCTTCAGAGAGACAGACTCCATTCTATAAATTCCTCTCCACAGGGAGAAGTGGAGAATTCATGCAGATAATCCCAGTAAGCAGGTCTTCTGTGCCTTCTCATGAGACAAGGGAAAACAACCACATACTCGAGAGGGTCACTTACATACTTTCTTGCCATTTTGTCACTTTATTCCTTCTCCTTTACTAGTTCTTTTGCAAGCCCAGTTTTGGATTGTTGCATTACTCTGAGTTAAGAAATTAATGTTCTGTTTACAAATTGAATTTTGATTAGAACTAAGCCCTTCTTATTAGGGGTCTTTGCCTTTTTTCATGTGTCCTAATCTGTATTTTAGTGTTTACCAAATGCTCTCTTGTGTGAAATCTTCACTCAGTTTAGGATGAAAAAACTGAATTTGCCAACCAGCCACAGGGCTGCTTAATAAAATATTAACAGTCTGTTAAAATGATCATTGTTGCTTTCTAAAAGCTGTCAGGCTTCACTTGTTTTTAAACCCTAAATTAGTTCCTAATTCAGCTTTTGTCAGCAGATTTATTCTTTATTCTGGACTATTTAGGGAGAGAGCACAAAGTAGTGCTGGAAAGGAAAAGCACCTATTTTCCTATTAAATCTTCATGTGAAATACAGGCATGGTCTCTAATCATGTGTTGTCTACAGCAGGGAAATCTTAAGTGGTACTTTGTAAAAAAACATTTCTCATTACTTATTTGTTTCATTTTTGATAGACAAGGAGCTCCTGCTGGTTTTGCTATCACCATTCATTTTGTTTACCAACTACATGTCTAACAGAAATGCCCACCACTTACCTTACGAGGCATGGGAGCTAAACCAGATGGTCTCCTGCTGTGAGACAGGGGTATTTTGGTACCACTTGTACCAGCACATCACAGAATGAAGGCAGCCTTATTAAGAGTTTAAACACAGAATTTGTCTGATCAGGCAGGAGTGAAGTAGGATGCAGGGACGAGGGTTGTTTTTTTTCACTAGATCTTCTCCCTGTAGGGTAAAGCTACTTGCACAATCCTCAGTCCTAAAAGATAACCTTGCAAAAAACAGAGAATGCTTTTGGTTGGAAAAGTCCACCACTAAACCATGTCCCTAAGCACCTTTTACACATCTTTTAAATACCTCCAGTGACTTCACCACTTCCTTGAGCAGCCTGTTCAAATGCTTCATGAGTAGCATTATCTAAGAACTGGAAAACTTGGCTTATGTAAAGTTAACCTCTGCTAGTACTTCAGCTGACAGGGGTAGAGAATAGTATCTAGGTAGAGGTTGTGAGGTTAATGTAATGTGTGAACAAATATGACTTTTTTTTGAGATATTTGCTGAAGTTTCAGCAGCTAGGCACTGTCTGGTTAGGAAATCTGTTATTTTTGAGTAGCAATTTCATAGTGCAGAGGAAAACCTGGAAGGTCAGGTGGGTCTGAGTCTTAATGTAAATTGGCTGGTTGGCACATGTATGTTTGATAGCTTGTGGACAGAAAAACTGAGCTATTTTAGCATCTGATATGTCACTGTAGCCCTGAACACAAAAGCTGTATTGCTGACGTGCTGGGTGTCATGCTGGAGATTGTACTCCCCCATCAAAGCACTAAGGGAAATTTGAGGATGCTTGCTTTGCTGACTATCATTGATGGGGTTTATGTCTTGCTGATACCAAGTATAAGATCATTAAACAGGCTGCCATCCTGGCTAATTAGGAGAGTAATTTTGTTCTAAGTAGTTGTGCTCTGGAGCATACATATTTGATCCCATGCTCCAGGTGTCAAATAAAATAATGGGATCCCCAATTATGGCATGTCACCTTCTGAATCTGGGATTTCATATGTGCCTCCCTATATTGAGAGAAAAAAACTTTTAGGACATTCGAAGATAAGCAATATGCTTAGCCAAAGGGAATTTTTGTAACTTTTGGATAATCAGATAGTAGTATTAACCACTTTAGTGTTAAAAGAAAAATGCTCAGAAATATGATCAATATCAAATTAATCTTTTGAAGTGGGTTTTCTTTTTGTCTTCCCTGAATTCCCAGTACCAGAATACACTTACAAAGTAAAGTGTTCTTGTCAGCCTGTTTGTTGTACCACTACACTGTTTTTCTGCAAAAACCCTAGTTACCTGTAGTGCATCAGCAAGGCGATAATGGTGTCAGAGACCATTTTTTACATTTTTGCTGTCCTAAATGTCTAATCTGTCTTCTTAACCTCTTGGTTTTCCATTTTTCGATAAAACTCATTTTTTTTCTCAACTGGAAAAAGTAAATGCCTGTCAGAATAATGCTATGTGTCACCTAAGCTACCTCTGCAAGGAAAACGTGTCAGCAGAAGTTTGGAGTAGCTTGTCCAGCCAAGCAATTTAGCTTATTCTTTGCTCATCTTGGCTCTGTGAGTTTTATGCTGATGCCCCACACCCCCTAGCCCATCGGTGTTAGGATCTTGTTGGGATAAAAGTACTGTACTCACCAGGCATTTTGCTTGGCAGCTGAGGAAAGAAAGAAGCTAGCCTTCTTGGGAGTAACAAAATACAATTCACATGTTAGATCTCTTCCTTTTGCTTACAAGTAGCTTGGCCTTATAGTATTAATAGAAACAGTATTTTCAAGAATTTAAGAATACATAATGGTCTGGTATTTTATTTTTTCATTAAAACAAACACAGATTATAAAGTAATTTTTTTCCATGTATGTTTCTGTGACTTGGCTTGTATATGTTTAAGATGAGGCCAGAAGAGACTGGATCTTACAACCCAAGAGCCTAAAGCTGGGGATGGGCTCAATACAAACCTCCCCACCCCACAGGACTCTTAAACCCTCCACCTTGGTCCTAAACAGCATAACCTGGGGTAAGGGGCAAGCAAAAGGCCAAGAGCCACTGAGAGATGCACTCCAAGGAACAGGCCAGTTAAGAGCAGCAGCTTCTCCTGTGCCTCCTGTGCTGCAGGTGGAAGGAAGGAGCCCAGGCTGGGGGCTGCCCTCTGCCCTCAGGCTGTGCTACACTCCACCGCAATAGTTCCCCCCTACCCCAAACACGCAAGCCCAGCAGACAGTGGTCTTTCTAATGAACTGATGGAGTAGCAGCGAGGCAGCGCTACAGGCTCCGAGCTGCGGTGGTTCCCACACCGAGCGCCGAGCTCCCTCTGCTGCCAGCCTGGAGCCCTTCCCCACGCCAGGGCCCTCCTTTCCCGTGAAGGTCTTCGAGCAGAGGAAGCTCACAAGAGCTGTGACAAGAGGCACCTGAGGACCACTGCCTTCCTCCACGGGGTGTGTGGGTGTATGGAAGGTGCCCCATGCAATGCTCAGGCACGGAAGGTTGCCAGGCACCTCCAGGAATGCAATGTGGCACCTACAGCCCAGAGCACAGAAAAAGGAGGGCAGACAGGAGCTACGAAGAGACTCATCACCCTCCTTCCTCCCAAAACTGAAACCAAACGAACCACTCCAACACTCACCAGGTCCACGTGTGCAGAACTGGCGTCCAGCATAGCCCCAGGCAGTGACCAGGAGCCAGGCTTCGTGTCCCCAAAGCACCCTATTCCTCCTTGTCCCTCACAGGGTGAGGCAACAGAGGTACATAGGCACCATGTTTTCCCTCCCATCCTGAAGCAGGTGCTGAAGAAGGGGCAGTATCTCTCTGCAGAGACTTGGTGGAAGGTGAAGAGGTGGGACATCTCCCTAGCACTGAAGAAGGCAACAATGCCCTCCTGGCAGTCCAGAAAGACCTCCACTTTCCAAGGAGGCTGATAGGACATCAGGTGCACCCAAGGGGTGGTGGTGGCCCAGTACTCTGTCCTGTTCCACAGGCGAAGGGTCCAGTAGCCATTCTCAGGGCACAGCTTGACCTTCGCTGCTCAGTCCACATCCTCGTCAGCCAGGTCTCAGTTGGTTTTGGTGCCCACCCAGACCTCCCAGTAGGGCCAGCTGCTGTCAAAGTTCTGTGAGCTCAGGACGTTGATGCACTGAAGGAAGCGCTGGGGGCTGCTGAGGACAGCGTAGGCTCGATTCCTCTCTGTCACCCCTGCCAGCTCCCTGGAGCTGGGGTGAGCTGATCTAGGGTCGAAGGTGAGCAGGGCAGGAGCTGTGGAGACATGGCACTTTACTGGTTGCATATTCCCTCTGCAGAGCATCCCCAGCCCCACCAGCACATCCATCCCTCCCCACCCACCTGCTCACCAGGGTGGATGGACTGCAGCATCTGCCCCCAGAAGCTGTACTGCAAGGGCCCACCATGGCTGTCCCTGTAGCGCTCCGAGCGGAAGGCAGGCTGGGTGGTCTCGACATGCACTGAGGGCCTGTGGCAGAGAGCCCACCGCTCTGCTGGGCCACCAGTGAGGCACGAGGGAAGAGCACTCAGGCCTGCAGCACACTCATGGCCTGTGACAGGTCTTGGTCCCAAACCTCCCTGGCAGCTGCCTGCTCCCCGATGCAGCGGTGCCCTGGCACAGGACAGGTCTGGCAGCACCGCTGGGTGAGCCGTGACTCACTGCACAGCAGCACCCGGCACAGCCAGGCAGGGTTCCTGGGTGGGTGAGCAGGCCAAGCCTTTGGAGCTGGGCTGCACCCCACTGCAGCACCCAGGCTGGGAGGGGACAGGGACACCCTCCCCTGTGGCAGTTCTGCCCCTCAGTTACTTGCAGCATCAAAGCTGCACCCTGGGGTCAGTTTTGCAGCCCCGCAAGCTTTAAGCGGCTAAGAAAGGGCAGGGAGAAGCAAAGGCGCCCAAAGCCTGAGGTATCAGCCTTGCTCCCCTGCAAAGGCATGCACGGCTCCTGCACCTGTTCCAGACCAGCACGGCTCCTGCACCCGCTCATCCAGCCCAGCTGTCTCGACATGCATGCTCCATGGGGCAGCATCCAACGTGTGCTGGGGTCCTAGCACAGCACCAGCAGCTCACTGAGCAATTTGTGATGCTTCTAAGACTTGAGACAAGATCTCTTCCCCTTGTAGTCCTAGCCAGAGACAGATAAGCTCCTGAAAAGGGAATCGGCTTCTTTCACGCCACACAGGCACCACCGCAGGGTCAGCCCCTTTGCTGAACAACGTTTTCCTGATACTTCAGCGGAACGTCGTGCAGGGTCTCACAGTGCCTGGCCATGCCCCCTGAGCCCCGGGAAGGGGTGACCCGGCCCAGGGACAGACACCAGCTCGGGGAGCCGCAGGGTGACCCCAGAACCCAGCCTGGGCTGGCAAGACCCTCTGCACCTCCCGGAGCCCGAACCTGGGGATGCACCCCCTGCTTCTCGGGTGCAGCCCCGCAGTAGCCCCTGGACCCCCAGCCCGCCCCGCTCCGGGCAGTTCGCAGCCCCGTACTCGCACGGCTCAGCACGGCTCGGCGCTGCATTGCATTGCATTTACTTGCACGGTTTTGCGCTGCAGGGCCTCGGCCCGCACTGCCTCACTCGGCACTGCAGGGACTGTACCCCGCGCGTCATTGCCGCG